AAGCATGGTTGTTCGTGCTGTATGGGATATAAAGCACTTGGGATTGGGTCTTGAGACCAATACAGCACTCGGCCTTCGGCCTCGTGCTGTATTGGTCTCTCGACCCAATCCCTCGTGCTTTATATCCCATACAGCACTCCAACCATGCTTTAATTATAACATATAGTATCAAAGGACAGAAAGTGATATCTCTTTTGTGATCCATTGAAAATCAAATAAAATTTTAAGTCAAACAAAAATTTAGAAAATATCCTGTCATTCTGACAAATGTAGTTCTTCACGAATAAAAAAACAGACTTTTAGCAACTAAATTATTGAGCTGCAGTTAGACACTCTCCCTATGTAATGATATCCACTTGATGTATGTGTATTTTATAATGGTCTCTCCTCCACTTTAGACCTCCATAATATTGAATTTGAGTATTCCTGAGTTGCTCTCAATCCAGCGTTGCTGGGCTGCACTGGATGAGCTTGAACACACTCCAAAAGATGCTCCCCTCAAGTTTCTTTCGTCCTTAGCATTTTCTATTCCAATTAGTGCCCGACTGGATCATCTTGATGAATCTTCATCTGTTACAATTCAGGTAAATTATGTTATTACTTCAATATTTTTTACCGTATTTTAAATTAAATTATTGATTTTAAAATTATTGGACTCGCCACGCTTGCGTAGGCGGGTACTAAGCAGTTGGGTTGTCATTCTGTCATTCTGTCCACACACTTTAATTGATTTGTAAAAAAATTATATTTTTGTCTGAGCAGTCTAGAGCTCTATTTCTTCTTCTAGCAACAGATAAAGTTGCTTTCTTTCATCTAGTTATACTCTTGTAGCATCCCGTGGCACCAAAAGCTGTGAACTGCTAAACCAGGGGACCTCTCTCCAGGTGAGAGCGCGTGTTTCACTCTACAGGGCTGAGATTTGCTTCAGAGGTAGAAAATCCCATCTAACGAAAAACAAAAAGAACGATTTTGTCCTAACTTCGTTGTTTGTGAGTTACAGTTGCTCAAAGTTTGTGATTTAGCCTCTTTGAGAATTTTTCAGGCGGCACTGGGGAAAGCAGGAACAGCCAAACTCTCTCAGTCTCTTTTAAATATTTAGAAAAATTTTCTAAGCCAACTCTTTCTTGGAATAGAGCTTCAGATGCTAAAATAAATTTCAGCTTTTCTTCTTTCTCCTACCCATGTGCCATGATTTAGTTGTTGACCACACCCATAGCTTATTTTAATTATCATTATAACTATGCAGTCAATAATAATTTTTTTTTCAAATTGCTTAAAATATCACAGTACAAGTAATACATATCACTCAGGTGAAATCCAGCAGGCGAGTCCATTGCACCATAGTGCTTCATTTTACTATTACTTACTGTACTGTTCATTGTAATGTCAAATCAATCTCTAATTCAAATGTTAGAATGGAAGGTGTTGTTTTGTGACTAGCTACCAAAGTATCAATTTTGCCAAAAGCCATGTTTTTCCAAAATATGTATACATGTTTTATGCATGCATGTCGTATATATTGCATGTACATGTATGTAGAAAGTTTGAGCCAATTCCAACTTCAATCTTTCAACGTATCATCATTTTTCAATTAGCAAATTTTCAGAAAAAAGCAAAGGGCTTATAGCCCAGGCATTTTTTCAAAAAATGGCTCTGAAATCACTCCCAATTTTTATTACATATTCTGATACATATACATGTCCTTATGCTGTGTAGAAAGTTTGAGCTAATTCCAACTTCAATTTTTTGAGTTACAGCCAATTTAAGAAAATGCCAAGATTCTGAAAAATACCCAAGGCTATAGCCCATGGATTTTTTCAAAAATGGCTCCGAAATCACTTTCAATTTTTATTACATTTTCTGATACATATACATGTCCTTATGCTGTGTAGAAAGTTTGAGCTAATTCCAACTTCAATTTTTTGAGTTACAGCCAATTTAAGAAAATGCCAAGATTCTGAAAAATACCCAAGGCTATAGCCCATGGATTTTTTCAAAAATGGCTCCGAAATCACTTTCAATTTTTATTACATTTTCTGATACATATACATGTTCTTATGTTGTGTAGAAAGTATGAGCTGATTCCGATTTTAATTTTTTGAGTTACAGCCAATTAATTTTAAGAAAATGCCAAGATTCCGAAAAATACCCAAGGCTATAGCCCATGGATTTTTTCAAAAAATGGCTCTAAAATCACTCCCAATTTTTATTACATATTCTGATACATATACATGTCCTTATGTTGTGTAGAAAGTATGAGCTGATTCCGATTTCAATTTTTTGAGTTACAGCCATTTTTAAAAATGTCCAAATTCTGGAAAATACCCAATTTTTATTTCATATTCTGATACATATTGATGTCCTTATGCTGTGTACAAAGTTTGAGCTGATTCCGACTTCAATTTTTTGAGTTACGGCCATTTTATAAAAACACCCAAATTCTGACTGTTACCCAAGGCTATTAGCCCATGAATTTTTTCTTAAAATGTCCTGAAATCACCCCCAATTTTTATTGCATTTTGTAATACCAAGAGTAGATAATTAGTTAGGGAGAGTGTCTAACCGCCCTATAGTAGCTGAAACATCACCGCGTAGTCTTTTTTTGCTTATCTCTGGGCATTTCCGCATACATAGATCAGTAGTGGAGTTTCAGAATTCTATTCTTATGTATGGGCGTGTAATTAATAACCTTATTAACCTGTAAAATGGCGGCCGAGTTTGTGCTACATGAGGAAGATACAGCAGACGACTATTCTGTCACTGATACTTATCTAACAACTTGAAGGGGTTCATAATCAATAAGTGTTACTTCAATGATCAGGAATGCCTAATACTTACTCATGAGAAGCTGTTCCATCATCTTCCACTGGGACCACGTGTATAGGGTGTGGGTAGTTATGAAAACCACACCTGTCACCACATGTTTCATAAATTCATTCCTATTCTTCTAATAATCTTCAGCATCAGACATTGTGCCTCGGGACTCACGTGACTTAGTTCTACGCGGTGATGTTTCAGCTACTATAGGGCGGTTAGACACTCTCCCTAACTAATTATCTACTCTTGGTAATACATAATGTCCTTAATCCTTGTGCTATGTAAAAAAATTTGAGTTGATTCCAACATCAGTCTTTTTAAGTTACAGCCATTTTAAGGAAAATGTCAAAATCCTGAAAAATACCTTGTCAGCCAATGAATCTGCTGATTAGCTCACTTTACATGTTTTGTGGGAAAACCCCTGCTTGTTTTTTTTTAATTATGTACATATAGTTTATTTATATTATGCATACATTTTATACAGGTGTGGTTTCCTGATGGTAGAGTGTTGACCTTTGATCCTCAGCCTTCCGATATCCGCCCACTCATTCCTGATACTCATAAACTCAATCACAAACTAATCATATCACATGGGAAATGGACTGGTAAGAATTATATAAGAATTACTATACTTGTGTTCTATTGTTTTCTTATTTTTTCTCTTGATATTTTATGGCATATTGTAGTACAGTGTTTATTTTAACCAGTATTGTATATCCAATATTGGCTTAATGTACAGTATTATAGTTAAGCTAGGTTTACATGTACACGTGCATGTACATTTGACAAAATGGTCAAAAATGCTTGGGAGATCTGATCTTCCAATGCAAAAATGGTTTCAAGTTGACACAAAATTGTTTTAATTTTAATCATTTTGCATTGCATTTGTCGTGAGTGTAAACCAGGATTTAGTCATTGTGATGTCTATGTTATTGAACAGTTGGTTTTCTGTGAAAATACTGTTTTATTATTGTTGCTGTATACTGAGAGACTTAATTGACTTTTGCTTGTTTGAAAGTTTTGCTGCTTCAATTTGCAAATAGTTTCCGGCTATACGGTGTGTAACTTACACATAACTCTACTCTCTCTCCTTCTCCCCCCCCCTCTCTCTCTCTCTCTCCCATCTTAGATGCTCTAATGATAGAACTAAGTATCATTCGTCATCATTCACTGGACATTCCCTCAGAGTCTCAATACATGTCACTAATAACCAAACTAATAAAGAGAGGAGAGGGTCAGACCTCATCCTCCAGTCACATGATCACTTCAGACTCCATTCAATCCTCTTCTCCTCATATGGTTGGATCTGTTCTTATCAGTGACATCATCAAGTTGAGGATATTACCACAAGATACTCTTGCAAGAGGTTATAATGTGTTTGGACCAACTTAGAGTAGAGAGACTGAGGAGGGAAGGACATAATTTTTATAGTTCATGACTTTATCATTTTTCAGTATTAAAAGTTCAAATTAAGATTTACCAAGGAGTTCAACACTGACTGGAGTAGCAAAGAGGGTGTGAAATAACAAGTGCTCAGTAGATCAGCAAAATATATAATGTATCTAATTGTAATACCATAGTACACTTTAAATTTAAGTGGATGTTAAAAATAATTATACTGTAAGTAGAGTTTGAGACAAGATACAATTCCATTGTTTCATGGCAGATGCTCATAATAGTGCTTAGAGTGAAGAGAAGCAGACAGAAAGGAATAATGGTAACAGAAAAAACTTACACAAAGTGAAAAGGCAACCTATTATTATTAACATAATAATAATAATGAATACTTTATAACACTGAGTAATGTATAACCCTGCATCACACATAAAATAGCAAAATTACAAAGTAGCTCAGCTATCAATGAGTAAATTGAAACCATAATAATAATTGGTTAATAAAAGTTATTAAGTACAATATTTGACTTTAATGTAACTAGCAATAGATTTTTCTTCTATTGTATCCAGTGCTGTAGCTAATGATGACCAACTGGGACCTCCTTTCTCTCTCACTTTATCTTCTCCTCTTAGCCAGGCAGACATACACTCCCGGAAACAGTGAACTGATTGTCCATGATAGTCTGCTTTTATATCCTTTAGTCTATCATCATATAATCCTAACTGTAGACCTAATGCATGCCATACAGAACAAGGCAAGTGTTGATCTGATGTTAATTCTTTAATGACAATGTCAAGATCTTTGATATCTATAAAAATAAAATACACATAAAATGTGAAAATGTATACATACACTGTACCATCTACTGTATTATAGGGCGCCTTTTTGGAGGGCTATAAATTTCCCGGATTTTAATTTTGCGAATTTAATTTCCGCGAATTTATGCTGTCTGCCATCTTGTACCATATAAATTTGATTTTTGCAAGAGTAATTTTCGCAAATCTTTTGAAAAATTGCGAAATCCGCAAATTTTACAGCCCTCAAAAAAGGTGCTTTATGGTATAATACCAATAATATTTGTAATTTTACATGTACATGCATACCTAGCTTTGTCATGGTCAAAGGTGTGTTAAAATCTTCAGTCATTTGAATCAGTTCCTGTCATAATAATAAGTAATAATAATAATAATAATGTATTGTGCCTTATAATAATAATTATTATTATAACTGATTATTATTTTTGTCACTGTGCTTGTTTACCAATTAAAGTGATATACATCAGTAGTAAAGGTGAATTCAACAGATGTACAAGTGTAATTGTTAGTAGTAAAAGCCACACAATGACAAACCACAATCAGGACAAAGAATGAGTAGTTTGATAAGCAATAAAATTACTTTTAAAGGTCTGTATGACCTTTTGTTTATTAGTGCTTGCATTGGTGTATCAAACAGTTTGTGTGTGTTAATTCTTACCTTAATATCACGTCCTCCTAATAGTGAGAGGTTACTAATATCTGATAATGGTTCATCAGGTAGGATCTCCTTCAATTCTGTATGTCTAGTACCAGTGGTAACTAGAAATGGTTGTTGTTCAAATACTGCTGAGAGTACAGCTTTTACACTATACACTGTCCTTTCTCTTAGTGTATTCACAGGATAGGCTAGTTCTTTAGGATCAATAACTAACTCTTTTACCTCTAGACTGGGACAGGATTCTTTATAAACACTCATTACCTCTCCTATCGCATCTCTTCTTAGAGACACTATATTGTCACTGTAACCTTTCTCACAGGACATCATTACTAGTACACACTGGCTCTCATCCACAATCTCTACCAGTGATCCTACACCATGGCCATTAAACCAGTAAAGTCCGTTTTTCCAAAATGTACAGTAACGATTTAATTTGTCATCTTCTTGAGGTAGAGCCATTTTGTAAGCAAGACGTAATGAGAGGACATGGAAGTACCGAGGAGGAAAGAAATGATGTTTACTAGTACACTGTAGACACCAACCAAACTGGTACACTTGACTAGTCATCTCATCAGATCTATCAGAAGACAAAAGACATGGAAAGAACAACAACCTTCCTCCTCTTTCTCTCCCTCCCTCCTCCTCCTGTTCCACTGCTAATTGATGGAGGTTTGTCATCCTTAGGAAAGATGGATTCATTTCTTGACAGAGTTCCATGTTTTTCACAAAACAAATCAACATCTCAGGATCATATTTAGAGAAGAGTCTAGTCAGACCAGACACACTAACAATACCAGTATTGCTAGCAATGTCAATGTGTTCTTTGAATGTCTCTGGAGCAAAGAGAATCCCATCCACCTCAGTTAGTAGTATACCCTTATTCACAACAACCCATACCTTGTCTTCGCTTCTAAGAACAGTGATCAAACCAGTTGAGTGCAACAAATGAAGAACATCCAAGACATCTTCTCTTATATCTGGTAAAAAGTAATCCTTATGGCCCTTACCAGCAGACATTACATCAGAGAGGGTCAGTATATTCTCTTGCCTTTCCTCCAGTAGACCGTACATCATGTGACAATAAAGACTCAAATTCCTTCCACTTGTACTACGAATGGACTCACAGGTACTAGACAACTTATTAAAGAAGGAATCCACACCACTCCCACCAAGCTTACGACAATCTAAGAAGACACTGTCACACCTTTCTCCTGCAATTATCCCCTGCATTTCTTCCTTTCTTCTCCTTTTTACTGGATTATTTATCTCATCCACATGACTGACTATTACAATAATATGGCATTGATTAAGAACTTTCTGTGCTTCATTTCTCACAACTGTTAGCCACTGATGAAGCTGTTTGACTGCTTCCTTCTCCAGTATATTGACTACTATCAGGAACACACCACCAGAACCTTGTAACAAATTTTCAGTGACAGCACTGTGACTGGAGTAGTATTCGGAATGACCAGCAAAATCATGAAGAATGATGTTACCCAGTGTCCTGTGTTGTAGTTTATAAGGAATGATGCCAGCAGTACAGGGCACTACCCCTCTAACATTTCTAAAGGAACCAAGAGCAATAGAACCAGTAGCTGTGTCATTGATGACATGACTAAGAGTACTTTTACCAGCTCCAGGATTACCCACGAGAAGAACATTAACATAAGAATCAATTGGATGAGATACTTTAACGTTACCAAACTTCTTAAAGATTGTAGTAACAGCATTGTGTCTTCTTTCTTTAGCTAGTTGTAATGGTGTCAGACCCTCATTGTCTTTGGCTAAAGGATCACACTTACCAGTTGATAAAAAGTATTCCACAACTGCAGGTGTACCTTTAAAGGCAGCAAGATGAAGAGGTGTTTGTCCATGCTTATCAGTGACCATTATCTCACAGCTGCACTCATTAATGAGGTACTTCACAACATCTACATGTTCAACAGCACAATGAAGAGGTGTCCATCCATCCTTATCAGCCACCATTATATCACAGTGGCATTCATTAATGAGGTACTTTACAACATCTATGTGTTTAACAGCAAGATGAAGAACAGTCCGATCATTATTGTTAGTAGAGGTAATATTATAGTGATGAGTATTGATGGCTTTTAAAAAATCAAGTGATCCTTCACTAGCTGCATAATGTACAATAGTATTTCCATTCCTATCAGGAGTCATTATATCACAGTTACACTCAATAATGAGGTAATTTAAAACATCAATGTGTTTTTTAACAAAGGCAATGTGAAGAACAGTCCGACCATCAGTATCACGATATTGATCATCCATTATATGACCATTGATGTTCATGACCATACACTTCAAAACATCAAGTAATCCTTCGCTAGCTACATAATGAAGAACAGGGACACCGTCATACTCAGTAGTAGTATCCATCATTGGACTACAACCACACTCTTTAATAAGATATTTAACTATGTCAACGTGATTGCCATCGGCAGCAATATAAAGACAGGATTTATCAACATAGTATGTGGGATCAAAACGATAAATAGTGACGAGATCTCTTGTAACATCTAGCCAGCCATTACTTATAGAACAGTAAAGCAGGTCAGGCTCATCCTGGTAAAGTATTTCAGGATCCTGTAGTAAAGGTAGTAACCGAACAGCTTCTTCGTGATCTCTTCCGTAAAATGCACGTACAATTGAAGCTGCCATCTATGCTGCCATCATAGACCCTTGCTGCCATCATAGACCCTTGCTGCCATCTACTGGATGGATCACGCGACTGCATTAATCATAGATATCGTTGGTGTCGGTTGTCCATCTGTACTGCGCATGCGTGGTTGTTGTCCATTCATTTTAGTGCATCTGCGCATGCGCAGTCTGCAAAACAAAGGGACAACGGACCAGAACTGCACTACTGCGCTTTTCACTCCACTTGGATGATCCAAGTGAAGTGAAAAGCGCAGTAGCGCAGTTATGGTCCGTTGTCCCCTTCAAAGGTTTGGATCTACTGCCCTTTTCACCCCACTTGGATCACTCCACTTAAGTGGAGTGAAAAGCGCAGTGTGCTCATAGATACTACATACACACATGGATATGAAACAGGAAGTCGGTATCCAATTAACTCTTTGAAGTTCACCTGTAAACGTCATAACCAGCATAGCTCTATCCTTGGCGCTTTTCCTCTGTCTATGTTTTCAAGAATTTTCTTGACTCACTTATTTTTGTGAAAGAAGGTATATAGGTCTTTTGTTTTGTTCAGTAGACCTAATAAATATATTCTCATTTCATTTTGTCAACAGGCCTCATGTTTACATGACAAAATTAGAAGACCTCCATTTTTATTTGTAACCACCTTTTCTAGACTCTCGAACGGAGTTAGCTAGTAAGTCTTGGAATCATAATAGTGTATTGTTTGTTACACGGACTGAAACTATTCTCGTGTCAATGTAATGAGAAATGACTGAGATAATAGCCAAAAACTAGTTTTTTTAATATTAATTTTGTAACCACCTTTTTGAGACTTCTGCACCAGGTATGAACAAGTTACTACTTTGAGTGTATTCATTAAGGTCTCTTATATAGACTGTTTATGGTTTCATTTTTCTAGATGCTATGTTTCAAAAGTAATAATATTTTTTGCAAGTGTTTCAAAGGGTGTGGTTTGATTTTTAGTGAGAACTGAGTAGTGAAAGAATAGGTTATTTACCAAGGAACACAAGCAGGATGTCAGTGGCATTGATGAGACATTGTTACATGATTGTAAAGCTTCATATTTATGCTACCACAGAGGAGTACTATCAAGATAGAGATGATGTACATTACAGTATGTACTGTATGGTGATACAGTAAGACTGTAAGTGCTTATAATAATTGTTGTCAATGTTTTTTATTTCTATTTTTATAGTTAAAATTTGTTGAAAGACTCATAATAATAATCAATCTATTGGGTGACTGAAGAATAGAATAATGATTATAGTGATAATTTTAATAATAATTTTTGTAGTACTTAGCACGGTGCATTCTTTCTTGTAATAGTAGATCTTCACTTTTTAGAACTAGAATATCGATTGTAACTCTTCTATAGTTGTAGACCTGAGCTTTAGTAAGTAATTCAACTGGATTTCTTCACTATTTTGCTTGTGCCATGCTTATACACGTGTAGTGTAAACGTCACGATACATCACTTCCGGCGCCAAGGATCGAGCGCATCCTGTTTCATATCCATGTGTGTATGTAGTATCTATGGTGTGCTTGGATCACATTTGCGTGCTCCGTAAACTGCATAATACATATGCATAGTATCGAGGGGAGGAGTTTACGGAACACGCAATGATCCAAGTGGAGTGAAAAGCGCAGTAATGTACAGAGCTTGCAGGTTGCTTGACCTAATTTTCTTGCTTCCTGCTCACGTGACATACAATAAGGAGTATAGCTAGACAGCATATGTACCCGGCTCCTTACATTAAAAATAGCATAAACTATCGTGTAATCAAAATTATGGCACTCAAAACCTATGTATGATGCAATGAACGTGAAGTGAATAATGCAAGTACTGTAACCACTTGGTTTACAAGCAGTAAATTATACCATTCTTTGGACTGCTTAGTACCTACCTATACGCAAGCGTGGTGAGTCCAACTAAAGTTTCTAAATATTTTTCCCTAATTTAATAATAAAGTCATGTATAAACAAGCTTTGCAAGTGAAAGATAAAGTTTGTGTTTAACTTGGCATAAATAAACTTGGCATATTGATTGATCAGGTTTCAATAATAAGTATTTAGAAAAAAATTGCATAAAAAAGGAAGCACCAAAAATAATCAAAAAATAGTCCTAACAAAAATAGTTCTAACAAAAACAGTCCAAACAAAAAGTCCTATATTGCTTCTTCGTGCACTTAGCATATTAGGCCAGTTCATTGCCCTCGCCCATGCCATAGGCGTATAGGCGAGGGTACTGCGATCATCCTGTATATGTGTGTGTGTGCATATGGTATGTATGTGTATGTTCACAAGATGGCATCTTTTTCTGTGTTTTCAAATCCTTGCTGCTCTTTGCTCAGGTCCTGTGGAATCCCACTGTCAACTAAAATGATTGCCAAAAGTAGCTTTTCTTCAGTTTACTTCTTCGTCCGTCTTCTCTAGACTTCCTCAGGATTCTATCAATGCTTAGAAACCTCATAACCAGTATCTAATCTATATTTATTATGGAACTTTTCCCAATTAACCTATTGAATGAGTTCCACTTTTTCCTTATTTACAGAACCGGGTGCCCATGCATAGCCGCATACACTAGGCAACATGTTGCTTGCAACATTTGTGGTTACTTTAATCCTGTAAGCAACATACTGCCAGAAATAGAAGGCTGTTCTATTTCTGGAAACATGTTGCTTACAAGATCAAAGCCGGTAACCACAAATGCTGCTAGCAACATGTTGCCTAGTGTATGGGGGGCTTATAAATTACTGTATGGTGCTGCTGTTGAGGCTGCCAGTGGGTCTTTTGTCTGGCCACACGAGACTAGGATTGTAAGCCTCAGCCTCTCTCTCCCTCCAGTCATTATTTGAAAATTAGCTGTTTTAAAACTAGTAAAATAACTGGAGCCCTCTTGGCTCTGTCTAATAGCCTCTAGAACAATAGAGTGGGTGTATATC